CCCCCCATGTTCCCGCCCCCGCCACCACGGTTATCACCGCCAGTGACGAGGGCATAGTCCCCACGCTCTCCGACGCCCTCTTCCTAGCGGCCTCCGTCTCCGCCCAGGCAGTCAGAATCACCTTCTCTACCAATTCCGTCCTGACCTCCGAATGCGCCAACATCATTCTCCTCTGCACATTGAAATCGGGCAGAAGGTTGCGTACATAGTGGACGTTAGCATCATGATCGGATTGCACCCAACCGTTCGCTTCTAGTTTCTGGCGAAGTACTGATGCTCTTGTGAGATAGCGCCGGGTCTTCTCCCCTACTTGCTGCTTCAACGAGTACCACTGCCCCTGCAGCTCCAACTTTTCCGTTTCTGCGTGCACTCGGTCAAGTCGAGAAATTGATTCCACGGTTCAGTGGGGCAACCACTAGCTTGAGTTGCAGGGACTATTGTCGGTACTTGTATCTTGGATATAATTAGCTGCCAAGCCTTAACAACCCGATCTACAGCTTCCGTCCCATGCTCCACCTTCAATGCCGAGACATTCGCATCCGTCTTCCCTACACGAACCGTGTTCTTCGATTCTACTGCCCCAAGTCGACACTCCTGCTCCAACAAAGATCGAAATTGACCGGTGAAAACCATTACCGCCGTCTGTACATCGTCCTCGGGGCTAAACTTCCCGGTGAATGCAGGGATTATTATGATACCTGCGCTAAATCGTATTGTTCATTTAGGGGTTGGGACTTCCCTGTATTCATCCTCCGTATATCTATCATAACCCTCCCTCCCTGTGAAAAATACGATATCCACCACAGGTGGTACATATTTTTGTTACCCTGCAGCTTGCGCGACCCTGACCAGGTTCACCGAATGATCCTGTTGAACTTTCAAGATCCACATGGTGTGTTCCTTCACCGACCCTGTGGGTATCGGTACCCTGTCATGGCGAGGTCATTTGACCCTCCCTGTGGACCATAAGTTTCCCCAAGGTCGGGTTTTCGTGACCCTGCAGATGACGTAACCGTGGCAAGGTTCACCGAATGACCCTGTTGAAGTTTCAAGACCCACATAGTGTGTTCCTGCACCGACCCTGTGGGTATCGGTACCCTGTCATGGCGAGGTCATTTGACCCTGTGGACCATACGATGTCGCCAGGGTCGGGTTTTCGTGAGTCTGCAGGTGACGCAACCGTGGCAACATTCACTGAATGACCCTGTTGCACTTTCAAGACCCACATGGTGTGTTCCTGCACCGACCCTACGGGTATCGGTGCCTGTCATTGTTGACCCAGCAACCCTGTCGATATTTTTTACCTCGACAGGGTATCCGCAGGGGCGCCTACAGGGTCAAAACATCCACAGCGTGTTCACAGGCTTGAGCAAAGTGGCCACCGGTGTACCCCTAAAAGATGCTGCTGCGAGCGACCACATGACACCATCCGAATGGCCGACGCCAGCCCCTGCCCGACCGATCTTGATCGCTTTCCACCGTGTGCACCCGATCTTCAATTGTCTACTCATCCCCTCGAGGGATACCCGGTTCGTCTTTCCCCTACCCGAACTAGCTGACTGTTGGGCCAAAACCCATTCCCTCATACACATGTGTTAACAATGCCCTGTGCCCTGAATTCGGACGTTCCGCCCGCGGGCAAGGGGGGACCCACCGCCGGCGGTGGGATTCCCGCTTGGGGGAAGCGGCAGTGGTCGGATAAAATGATTAAGAATAGTTGGATGATAGCTCACTCACGCGATGCGACACACACGACACGCATGCATCTGAAAAATGGACATGATGGCATGCTCTCTGCCCCGCCTCTTGCTCATTGGCGACCAACGAGGGGTCAGCGGTGTGCGTCCGGCCCGTGATTGTGTGATAGGTTTTGACCGAACAGCCGACCAATTTTCGGGGATAGTCTGGTAGGGATGTACTCATAGTCGTGCATGCCGTAGTCGTTAGACCATTGACCTCGCATCCCTACAAAGCCGGGACGGAGCACGCCGGGTTCTCACCGGACCAGGCTCTCACATCACCAAGCGCGAAGCGCCGTGAGATATTCGGCGAGTCGCATGAAGGGTGCGCTGCATCCTGCTAAGGGTGTTCGGCATCTTGTGCTTACTTCCTTGCGTACGGATGACAGCTGCGTATGAATTAATTTATTTTCTGGTGCTTTCACTTCCAGAGACAGTTGTAAGCACTGTGTAACTGCCTCGAGGGTGCTTGACCATTTTAACACAACGTGGTGCGATCATCCCCCTTGCGCGGAGTGAGGGTTCTCCACCCCGCACAACATGATCTACTCGACCACCATTATGGTTACCGCCCAAAAAAAAACCGGAGGAAAAAAAAATACAACGGTAACCTGGTTGCCGAGTTCATGAAGTGAATTGGCTTGTTTTACAAC